CGGGTACCGCGAACTATTATCAAGATGTATTTTTTTTTTTTTTTTTTTTAACCTTGCTGACAATGATTTCAACCATGATTGAACCACATAAGCGGCAGAAAGACTGGGGCACAAGATTGCGGCTTGCGACCTTCGCCTACCGAGCTACACCGCAGGAATCGATAGGCGAAACACCCAATATGCTCATGTTGGGGAGAGAAGTGTACCTACCAATCGATCTAACTGCTGGGGTGGCGTCGATGAATGATGGTAACAAGGGTACAACACAAACCAACCACGCACGATAGGGCGAGGAAGTGTCTCAAAAACAGCGCCAGGTGACAGAAGAAAGGTTATGACTGCCGTGTGGTCCATGACCGAATAGGCGAAGGGTATTTTGTGTGGTTATACAATCCCGTCAAAACAAAGGCTCTAACACCTAAACTACGGTGTAAACGGGGAGGACCGTACATGGTTATTCTCAGGTTGTCAGATGTAACCTACAGGATACAAAGGAAACCAAAAGGGAAAATGAAAGTCGTGCATTATGACAATTTGAAGCCCTACGTAGGTGAGTTGAAACCATGGAGTGGTGGGGAACGGAGGGAAAATGAGAATCCTGGACGTGCAAGGCAGACAAATAACCCGTTGGTTGGTGGCAGTGATCTGGCAGGAGACAGCAATCGAAATGAAGAGGAAGAGTCCTTTCTTCAGTCACAGGCATTAATCCAACCGCTGATGAAGAAACAAATGGTCCAGACATTGGGGAAGAACCCTAGACAGAGGATGTAGCACCTGATGAAACGTCATCAGGACAAGCGAGTACACAGGCAGCAATGCCGACTGTTGATGAAGAACCGAATAACTTAGACACTGACACAGGGTCTCAGACAGAGCAGCTAGTACCTGATACAGCGTCATCATGACAACCAAGCAGTAGGCAGACGATACCGCCACCAAGGCGGAAGCCACCAAGGCAGCATAGGATGCCGCAACGCTACCTGTAATATCAGTAATAGGGATGTCTCTGCACTTGAAGGGCGTGAAGGGGTGTGCCTTGAATAGTTGTGATTGGGCGCGGGGAGAGCTACGCTGTTAACAGGATCTACCATTTCATTTGTTCGCAGAAAGAAGTTCAGAGCTATAGAACTACCGAGAGATGGGAGGAAGTGACAAGAAGCCGGACAAGGAACGACCCGAGTCCGAGACTGTGGAGTGTCCAAAATGTCACAAGATGGTGCACAAGAGGAGCCTTATACAGCCCTTAACTGGTGAGCATGGTCCACGACTCTTCTACTGGTGCCTTCGGTGCTCTCATTAAAACAAGTGTTAGGATAACCTCAGAGCCCATTGCCACCCAGATCGGATCTTCGAGGTGGAACAGATAAAAGCTGAGACTTATAAAAAACGGGGGAGGAGGAGCTTCATCCCAGATAGGTCTACCCCTAAGAGAGAAATGCAAGAGCGCTGTTTTAGGGAGGAAACTAGGGATGGCTAGGCCAGGAAGCACGAGACAGATCCCAAGGGGAAGCGTGACGAGGACAGTGACGAGCAATGTAAAGACAAGAGGCCAAGGGGTAGAGTCTCAACAGCTAGCACTCTCTCCAGGCCGCCGGATGACGCCCCAATTGCTCTTTCGATCCCACGCAGGCGTTCACCAAACCAAAAGAAGACCGAGAAGCCTTTGACTACTGGAGAGCAGAGCAAGGAGCATGCAACAGCTGCACCTAGAAAAGTGGAAAATGAAACTCCTGCCAAAGAGGGCCACGACTGTACAGAGACTGCCACTGACGTACCAGAGGCAGTAAAGGAGGTAGAGATGGGTCAATCAGGGTATCGGATGGATAAGGGTCTCGGAGAGCTAGTTGAGATAGCATTATCTCCGACACCGATGCTTCGGGATCAAGAAGAGTCGTCCACTGATGAGCAACCGGTGGTTAGATATGGGGTAAACCACTGGGAATTATGGCAATGCTCCAGAGTGAATCTATTGGGGGAAGTGTGCCTCACGAGAGGAGTAACTGGCTGCTGGACTGGCCTCAACCCATGGTACCAGAGAAACTCCTACCTGGGCAGGTGATTCACGTGAAAGAAACCAGAGAAACCTTCCTGTATGCTAGGGAACGACGTACCATCTGTGGCGAAGTGCAGAGAGAGTTTCACATCGTTTACTTGAAGTCACTGCCTCAAAAGACGACCAGCGAGTCTGAAGAATCGCAGAACACCAGTAGACTTTGCCGACTGATCCGCTGAAGAGACAGCGCGGAGGAAGTCTTAGGAGCGCCTACGGATCAGGAGGATCTGGTGAGAGCGATGGTCGGTGACGTAAACCAAGTCCGAGAGACATCATCGAGGAGGGTGTTCCAGGAAGGCCGGAAACAAACCAAAATAGACCTATCCCCTGGTCGCCTCTTCAACCACTCGTTGGGTCGGCTGAGTGCAACCCTGAGGGTCCGTCGAAGGAGACCGCCACATACCCGTGCATTTAAAAAAACCATTCAGCTCTAACAAAGTAACAAATTCATAGCACACCAAATCTCCCAAACAATACAACAAATGGTACTT